TATTTCTAAAGCTCTTTGTGCTAAAATAATATCATATCTTGAGTAGCAGTTAGGTTTCTATTCAAATGTTTATTTGAGTAAAACAAATAATTCAAGTAATAATAAAATGAACAAAACGAATAAAATGAATAAAACAAATAAAATGAACAAAATGAATAAAATGAACAAAATGAATAAAACGAATAAAAGCAAATAAAATGAATAAAAGCAAATAAAATGAATAAAAGCAAATAAAACGAATAAAACATACAGTCAGAACTCGTTAAGGCAATGCTTTGATAAACTGAATATACATGATAAGCCAATGTTGTTTTATTATCTTCCTATCAAATTTACCTCAATAAGCCAATTTTATTAAGGTTTTTTAAAATGAAGATTTTTTTTTTTGAAAATATAGACTTCGGTTTAATGAGTTCTGATGAGTTCTGACTGTATTATGAATAGAAACCATGCATTAATATTAATATTAAAATCAATAAATAAACAAACAAATAGCTTTTATTGCAAAATAATTAATTTTGTTCCTTTGGTGTTAATGATTGAATCAATCACACAAGTAGTATATAGTCAATTTAAACAGCATTGTTTTTAAAGAATTTATTCAAAATAATATCATTAAATGTATAAAGTTTAATGCTGCAAATTTTTTTGATACATCACTCAGTACAAAATCAATCATATTTATTCATTTACTTTAAAGTTTCTTTATTTCTTTTTTTGATATAATAAATTTATCCTTTGTTTATTTGTTTTAGTAGATTCAAGTAGATTTTATTAGATCAAATAGTACACTACAGCAAATTTTCGGAGAACCAATTACATGAAAACACACATAATAAGTATACATAATTTGTGGCCTAGGTCCTGTAGAATATGCATGCAAAATTTCTTGTTTCCTGATTTTCTATGTACATATATATACACAAAAAAATATTATGGGCAATGCCCCGAAGAAACTTTATAGTTGATCTAATGTTACGGTCATTTAATACTGTTTGAATCCGTATTTCACGATTACGATCTTGTGGTTTCTGTGGGGGTCGTGGTGTTCCTCGCAAGACCATTTCTACGTCAAGTTCGACTTTACTTTGATTATCAGTAAAGTGTCCTGTCGGTAAAGTGTCACAGACCCCTGTGAAACTGATGCAGTAGGGAGAAAATGTATCTTCTGGCGCACTTTTTTGCTCCCCGCGTCGTGCTTTTTGATTTATTAGCTCCAAATTTAATTCTAAGCAATTCTAGATTACTTAAAAACTTTGATGTATGATTAAATTGCATTTGTGTCGTAATTTGGGGTACGACAAGTTTACATTTGCGTTGTACTTTTTATATACACCCGGATTTTTTAAATGTATCTACATAAGCTTAATTTAATAATTTGCAATACAATAAAATCATACTTGCTTCGTACTTTTTTTATATATTTACAAGCTTAATTCTATATATAAAAAAAACCAAAAACGATAATACTGCGAGCGTGCAATTTCAAATACAGCTCGTGACGCGTCCAATAAGTATATAAGATAAATATGAAAGTCCAATAATATATTTATTTCCCAATTTCCGCTCACCCTAGGAGCTATTCCAAAATTATCTGTAAAAGATTTCAAACTTGTTTCTCAACAACTTCTGTAGGAAAAAATTCCAATATTACTGTTGTTCCTTTTTGATATTATAATTAAAATTGAGTTACTGGAGAAATAGTTTAGCTCAAAAGATTTATATTTACAATATTATTGTTTCCAAGGATAAACTATTTACACCAGATGAACTTGACAACTCAAGAAACTATTAATATTAAGTCCTTCTAGGCATTCCTATTTCCAAAAAACTTTTTTTATTATTGAAGATCATTTATTTGGACGATCAAATTTTTATCATTCATCACAAAAAAAAAATTTTTCTGTAAGTAAATAATTAAGTTGTTGAAAAACATATATTATATAGTGATGATATCTTTGGTAACCAGAATATATATATTCAGGGCACTAAATTAGAATACTCATGGTTGATGCAACCAAAGTGTTATTAATTTTTAGAAAAACAAATTTTTTCTTTTAAATATTTAGTTGTCCATGATGAGACATAGGCGAATCTGAATTAAAAATTTTTTTTTAAAATAAAAAATGTCAACCAAAGAATATTAATTATTTAATCTAAGTTTTATAAATATTTAGACTGATTGATTAAATGGCAAAATCAAGATATGAATATGTAAAAAGTTTTGAAAAAGATGATTCGTTATTGCCTAACACTTGGATGGTTTTACGTATAGATGGAAGAGGTTTTCACAAGTAAATTACAAAACAAAAAGAAAATTTAACAGTTATAGAAATTATACACTTGTTACACAAGTAACCAACTGATCTATTGATATAGGTTTTCGGATAAGCATAAATTTGAAAAACCAAATGATAAAGCAGCTTTAGATCTTATGAATAAGTGTGCACAATCAATTATGAATGAATTTCATGATATAATATTAGCATATGGACAAAGTGATGAATATAGGTAATAATCACAGAATCATAAAATAATAGTAAATGATATATTAATATATTATTAACAAATATTTATAAATAGTTTTGTGTTCAAAAAAAATTGCAACCTTTATGGAAGACGTGAATTGTAAGTAATCTTATGTACATATATTTATAATTTTTTTCTCTTTTCTCACTTTCATTCTCCTTTCTCTTTTCTAGTAAAATATTATCAGTAATTGTTAGTCAATTTTCTTCTAATTATGTATATTATTGGAAAGATTATCTTCCATCAAAAGAATTATTATATCCACCCTCATTTGATGGTAGAATCGTAATTTATCCTAGTGATAATAATTTACGAGATTATTTATCTTGGAGACAGGTTGATTGTAAATATTCTTTAATGAATTATTATTATACTAATAATATTTACAATGTAGTAATAATAATAATTTATAATAAGGCCATATAAATAATCTATATAATACATGCTTTTGGGCCTTGGTAAATTCTGGTAAATCTGAATCTGAAGCAGAAGAATTTTTAAAAGTGAGCATTTACCTTTAATTTCTCAGAAAAATTTTTTTTTTCAATTAGCAACTAACTAGCTTTTATTTATTACTTTTTAATGAATGTTAGGGAACAGTTTCATCAGATAAAAATGAACTATTATTTTCTAAATTTAATATAAATTATAATAAATTACCAGAAATGTTTCGTAAAGGTTCTTTATTAATTCATCAAAAGGTATTTTATATAAATATGCATGTGTTATTTTACAATGTTATATTATTACAATGTTTAATATCTCTATTTCTATCACTTATAAATAGATTGAAGAAAAAACCATAAATCAAAAAGGTTTAGAAGTTACAAGGGGAAAAAATGTTGTTCCAATATTACATGTTGATATTATTAAAGATGAGTTTTGGGAAATTCATTTAGAACTTGGAATTAAAATATAATCAATTGCTCATTTATTTTTTTACTTTGTATTAACATGTTTCTGTAAGATCATGTTTCATCCTCTATAGTAAGTTTGGTGTGACTTTATTAATCGGATGAATTATCAATCTGTCCAATCCTTTTCCCTGTCAAGCAACACCCATTGTTTTGATTTTTTTTTTATTTTTACAATCTTGAAAGATTATGTTGAAAATAATGATGAAAATGTATTGTTATTTTGAAAGTTATGAAGCTAGTGAGCAAATAATGGTGCAAAACTCAAGAGTTAAGGCATTAATATGTAAGATCACTGAATAGTTTACCAAATGATAATTACAGTATATGTCATATGCAGAAATAGTCAACCTTTACATGTTATAACTTGGCAATATTTTTGCACTCTTACTGGTGAATTTGATGAAGATCTAATGATATATTACTGGTTGAGCAATATTGTTTGTCATTATGTCCATATTTTGCATTAACCATGTTTAACAAAAAATTAAAAATCAAGGAGTTAGAAATATATCAAATATAAAATATATTTTATTGCCTTATTATAATGTAATATTATACAAGCATTGAAGAGTATAATGCTTGACATGCAAGGCAATTTTCAAAACAACTACATTTTGGATTATCTGCTTCTTTCAATAATTCATTTGATTCATTAATTGTTCCTTGAACTCATCTAACAAATTAGAAGATAAATATTAAAACATCTCATCATATATTCAATGGGTAAACATTGGTTTCCTATAAAGATGTTCCAAATAATGTTAAACCATTATTTTCTAAGAAGGGTAAAATTAACATTATTATTAAGGATCTATTTTTAAAAAAATCAAGCAACAAAAATGAATAAATGAAAGGTTTTGGACAGAAAAAAAGGATGGATTTCTTTCATGAGCTGTTTTTGATGTAGGCCTGCCTCCTCTAAAAATAGAGGATCCATTTATTAAATTTTGTCAGAACTTATGTCCTGCATATGTTATCATCTAGGAAAAGTTTGTTAAGTGACAAAATTGCTTATATCATATAATGGTAATTATTTGGTAATTAATACAATTTGTATGTAATTGATCATCAATAAATTGTGTTATGTTTGCTTTGTGTAATAATAACTTTTTCTCTAAAGATCTTTTTGACTAAAAAAAGTTACGCGTTTTTCTACCTTCCAATAAAAAATAAAAAATAAAGTCAATGATAAGCGTTGACAATATTTCAATTATAGTTAATACTGTAAAGCTATATTACGATTCTGAGCAAAACTTGTCAAGCTACTACAACTGCTACTACATTAGGAATTTTGGCTAAATGGTTAGAAACAATAAGAAACATTTCTGTTACCACTGATAATCTATATAATATTCTGCAAGTTCATTCGGAGGAATTCATGTTGGGTCAAAAATGGTCAAAAACAATAAAATAATTCATTTATAGATATTGTATTTTTAATAAATCACAAGACAAAATCATATATGTATCAATTAATTAATATTAAAACAAGTTATTAATTACATTGATGATGACAAGTTTTATACCTGAAATTTGGTAATACAAATATTCACTTTGTCTGATTTGTTGCTCAACTGAGATTTTTATATAAGGTAAAAATGCCTATTTTGAACTCTGATCCTCATATAAGACAGAGTTGTCAGAAACTCGGATTTTAATTTATAAGGTAAAAAGTGATACCGATTTTTAAAGAAGGTAATATATGGGCAAAGGAAGAAAAATCAGTGCTCTATTTTATGACATGCTAAACATTGGTCATAAAAAAAAATGTTATGAGCTTTTATATTTGCTAAAAACTCATTATGACAATGTCAAGAATTCATAAACCAAGAAAGATCCAAAATTTACAGCTGAAAAATTAAAAAGTCAGCATTATGATCAAAATCACTAAAATGTAAGTGTGACAAATATATAAAAATTTGGACCCAGATATTCTTGAAATACATCTTAATGGAAAAGGATATGTATACAAAGCTGAAGGCAATCAACCTATACTCAAGGATTAGATTACCAAATAGGTTACAAGAAAATTAGTCAATTAGTTGGAGAAACAACAAATAATAATATTGTAAATGAATGAGGCAACAAAGATATTTATTATTGTTAATTTAATTCACTTGTAAAAATAATTTGATTGGTGTCAAAACTTGTTTTGGACAAAATAAAATGGAAGAAAATTCAAATCATCATCATGTAAATTAGTTAGCAGTATTCCTTATTTATTATTATAAATAAAAAAGTATGGTGGACAAAGTCCTATAATTAATTTGCCTGTAATAGAGCCATTTAGTTAAAAATATAAATGAATATTAATATTAATATAATGTACAGAATCTTTTTTTTAGAATTACACAACGTCGATCATTACAGTATTTAGTAATTTAAAATAACACCAAAAATTAAAACGTATCATAAAAAATAATGTCTTGGAGAAATCAATTATCAAAAAGTTTAAAAGAACTTCGTATACATTTTTGTCAAACTTCTCCTTCTAGTAAAGGAGTTCGGTAAATATTCTTTTCAATTTCTTTATTTATTTTTCTCTTCAATAACAAATCACATCTTCCTATTGCTCTCCTTTCAATAACTAATGAAAAAAAAGCAATTATCTAGAGAATTTATCACAAATAACTATTTATCATTAAAAGAGGCTAATCCAAAATTTCCGATTCTAATTCGTGAAGCAAGTGGAATAGAAGCTCGTTTTTTTGCTAGATATGGTACTTATGCACTTTACATATTACATACATAAAAAAGTGTCAGTATTATCTAATTCTAAATCATTAATATTTATTTTATTAGATTTTGGAGAAGAGAAAAAAATTGCTTTAAATAATCTCTCAGCTAGAGATGTTGAATCTAAATTAGAAGAATTGGTTTTAAATAAAGATTCTTTAAAATCATCATGATAAACAAATAGCTGACAATAATAACAATCAATAATAATAAATTTTCTTATCAATCTCTTATCCATCAATCAATATTTAATATTTTTGGCACAATATCATATAATAGTAATTAAAATAAATAAATGATGTATATTTATAGGTTAGGAACAAACATTACTTCCTACTTTGGTATTTAAAATTAAACCAACAATTAAACCATAAAGACCCAATTACTTCAACAAAAATCAATATTAAAATCATTCCTACAAATAATCTTTGTTGTTGTGCATGCCCTCTTACACACTTTTGAAATAAGAACATAAATATATAAATGAGTTATATAACACTTACAGCATCTCCAGCATCACCTATTGAATAGCTTGCTGCTAATCAGTAAGTCCTACTGCCAATCCAGATCCTAATTGAATGAATCTGCTAAAATTATTTAAGATTAAGATTGGAGTTACTCTTATTATTATTACTATTACTATTTTTTTTAATGTAGGCTTTATAATTGTAATGCTTATTCTATATACAATAAGAATTATCATTAATAGTATGCGCAACAACATTCGTTTAACCATAGATCTCACAATGTTATTATTATATACAATAAGAATTATCATTAATAGTACGTGCAACAACAATTCGTTTAACCATAGATCTCTCAATATTATTACATACAATAAGGATATCATTCATAGCAGTAGTTACCATCAGTTGATTTTTTTTGATGGTCGCATAGCAATGATTCTAAATCTATTTTTTGAAACAGACAAATAAATATCGAGACAATGTTATTATTATATACAATAAAAATTATTAATATACAATAAGAGTATAATAATAATGCCTCGCATAACAATAATTCAACCATAGATTCATTTAAATACAATGTTAGAAATCTGTATTATGAATTATTTGAAGTGAATGTATAAAATGTAATAAACTAACAATTCTAATTATATTACTCAAAGATCTTTATTTCTGCTCATTTAACCCTTCCTTCTATTTTAAATATAATGTAGATCAGTAAAACAAATCTCTCATCAAAACCTAACTAACTCTTGTGCGAGCCAATAGTACCTTTGTTGTTGCAACATTTGAAAGTCCAACACATCATTTAAAGAGGTATTAGCAAAAAAAACTTAATGTATAATTAAAATGAAACTTAATAGAAATGCACTTTTTTGAAAAAGATCAATGAAATAAAGCTTTAGACGTAAAAAATCTTCACCGCTACTTTTCTTTCATCTTGGGAACCAAAATTTTTTGTCAAAAAAATGTATTTATTTTATTTGAAAAGTTTACAAAACATTATTTTGTTATATAAAAACGTTGAATTTATGAAATCTTAGTAACATTCGTGCCCTATACAACCACGTGATATTTGTAACATGTGAGCAATTATTGAATGGTTTTTAATTGGTCGAAATTTTAAAGGTAGTAAAGGTTCCTTTGATTATCGTGTAAACTAATTGGGACATTCAAATTTTATACGACGTCCATGCTATATTAATTGATTAGTTGATAAATTGTAAATGAATGCAAATGCGAATTGGAGAATGAAGCAGGAAAATTATTCTCTTTACCTTGTATCTAAACACCTAAATACCTTTAATATTTTTATGACATACGTTATCACAAATTCTATATCTAATAATATAAATATAAATATAAATATACATAAACTTGGACATTAATTAATTATATTACTGTATTGTTATTATCTTCATCCTCTGTTTTTTAAAAATGTCTTCAGCTATAATAAGAACAAAAGATCGAAGACAAGAAGGTTATCAATCTTTTACAAATCCAAATCAAAGGTAAAATTTTCATTAATTGATCACATTATAGTATTTTGATTCATTTTATTTAATTCAATATATATATATATATATATCTAATGTTGAAGTTATTGATTGTAGTCATAATAATAGAAGTAACAAGAATAAATGGAATAAGAATAAAAATAATAATAATAATAATAACAACAACAATAACGATTTTAATATTAATAATACTAATAATTCTCAACATTCAATTAATCTAACATCAATAACTCAACAACTTCCAAATCCTAGTCCATCATTCACAAATCATTATCACAACAACGGTTATATTAACAACGTTAACCATAATACCAATAATCATGCTACTAATGTTGCTAATAATCATTTTTCAATATCTCCAGGTCCAAATTCATTCAAACAAATTGAACAAATAGTTTATGATGAAAGTTCTAGCAGACATATGCATGATCGAATGTTATTTCTACTTTTTAATTTAGTTGTATGTATCATCAAATATTTAGCATATTATTATTATTATTATTATTATTTTTTTGAAAAAATAATAATAATATCTTTAATTTTTTCTAGGGTAGGAATGTTATTGTCACTTTAAAAAGTGGTGTAAAATATCAAGGTTTTTTCATGGCAGCATGTACAGATGGTGGAATTGGCGTGGTGTTAAGATTAGCCAAAAGAGTTTTATCCAAAAGTGAAGAAAAAACCACATCAAATCCTGCAAAAGAATCTTTTATCATATTAGAAAAGGATCTTATGGATATATATGCTACTAATGTTGACTTTTCTGCATCAGAAAAATCAAATTTAGAACGTGATAGTATGTTATATGTTAATATAATCAAGATATTTAATATTATATTATATTATGTAACTTACTTACTTAATAATTAATAAACTAGGCTTTAAAACAGATTCTAATATCTCTGATCGCACAGGAATAAAAGAAAGGGAACTTCATAAATGGACTTCTGGCGAATCAGAAGAGCTTTTTGAAGGCTTAGAATATCCTTCCATAATTTTTTTATGAAAAAATCATATACGATTATTTTATTTATTTTAATCCTTAATTTCTTTCCACAGATAATTTAGGCCAAGAAAATGGTGATACTTGGGATCAATTTGCTGCAAATGAACAATTGTTTGGAATTGCCACTGATTTCAATGAAGAAATTTATACCACAAAATTAGATCGCTCAAAAGCTGATTTTAAAGAACGAGAAAAGGCTGCTATCGCTCTTGCAAATGAAATTAACAGAGTAAGATGTTTTAATAAAAAATAAACCATAAATATATTTATATTTTATTTTAGAATATTCAAAGATTAATATTATATTTGTATGATTATTATAGACTGCTACTACAAATACTCATATGCTAGAAGAACGTGGTTGTATCATTGATGAAAATCAAATGGACGAAGAAGAACGGTAAGCGATTAATTGATTTCTTATTCAAAAATTACCTTGATTCGATTATTTAATTAAATAGATATCATTCATACATAATAATAATAATAATAATAAATTTATTAGTTACGGCGCTGTTATTCGTAATCGTGATCCAAGTAAATACATGCCACTCACGCTTTCTAAAATACAAAAACAACAGCCACTGCCACAACCATCATCAATTAAATCAAATCAACAATCACAATCACGGCCAAAATTAAATGCTACTACGCAAACAATTAAAAAATTAGATACTATTAAAGAATCTTCTAAAGACATTGCTACTACTACTACTATTACTACTACTACTACTACTACTACTACTACTACTAATATTACTACTACTACTAAATCAAAATATTTAGAAGAAACAAAATCATTTTCATCCATTAATAACAACAAAAATAATAATGGTAGTGATGGTGATAATATTCTAAAGGCAATACCTTTAACTAATGGAACTGCTGAAACTACTAATGAAGCAGCTACATCTGTACAAAAGATGTCTAATTTGGCTCAATTCCGAATAACAGAACCCATTGATGTATTAATTCAAAAGGTTCTTAGAATATTATTTAATATGTTTATTGTTTGTTTATGTTAAATTAATAAATATATATACTTTATTTTTAAGAGAAATAATAATAAAGATTCTGAGGGGAAAAAAATCGAAACGCAGATTATTAATAGATTTCGACAATTTGCAACCAACGAAAAAGAAAGACTACAACACAAAAAACAAGCTATATTTAGAAAAGAAATGGATAAAAAAGCCGCTGAATTACTTGAATGGGGCCAAGGCTTTAAGGTTTTTATTTTTTTTTATGTTTTTATATATTTTTATATTTTATATTTAAGAATAAAAACTCATTATTAATAAATTTATAGTTAGATTTGCCATTACCAAAAGATCTTATTCCAATTTTGACAAAAGATGAATCTAAACGTCAACAGCTTGAAGCTAAATCTGTGGCAGCAGCACACAATTTAGATAATGAAAAAATAAAAGATAAATCACAAGATAAATACAAGATACAAGATAGATGTGTTGAAATTAATAACAACAACAATGACATCAATAACAATAACAATAACAATAACAATAGCAATAAACAAATAGATAAATTATTCGAAGATAAAACAATCATATCCAAACATTCGGATATCAAAACAGATCTTAAAAAACCCGAAGGTGAAAAAACTCAAAAAGCTCAACCTGAATCAAAAACATTAATAACTGATAACAAAACAACATCATCAGAATTTGATAAGTTAACTTCTGATGCTCCTCTACCTTCAATGAATGATAACAATAACGATTCAACATCAACATCAAATTCTCAATTCAAATTTAATGTTAAAGCATCAGAATGGAAACCAAATCCTAATGCGGCAAGTTTCACTCCGGTATGGGTTGATTGATGTAACAATCTTCATAAACAACCCTTTTATATATATATATATCTATTATATTTTTATAAAGAATTAATTTAAATTAAAGTTATATATATATATTTTAATGTAATAGGTTGTCACTAATACCAATATTGATAGAAAATCACCTGATTCAGTATGTATTAAATTAATCATTAATCTATTATTAAAAAAAGTACAAAATGGAAATAATAAAACCAATTTTTTAGTCACCTTTCTTTGGAAATCAACAATTAAAGAAAAATTCTGCAACAATTAAAGATGGTTTTCATAAAGGAAAACCATTAATAAATCCAAATACAATTCGTAAGTATTTAAAAATTTTAATATTACATAATCAATTATTAGACATTGTTTTGCTGTCAAAACTGATATGATGATGAATTATAGTTGTCAATCCAAGTTATGGATTTATGCCTTACTCTGTTGCACCTTTTCGATATCCAAATTCAACTCAATATGGTGTAGTCTCTTTACTATTTTTAGTTTGAATTTCTTTTTTTTTTTTTTTTTGGTATATATGACCAAGATAAATTTTTTTTATTAATAATGCAAATTATAGTGTAACAGATGACATTTTTCATTTCTCTATGTTTGCGAATTCAGTGTAACCGAGGACATTTTTTCCTTCGAATTATATAAAGGCGGTGACCTTTTCCATTTTCCATCAATCGAATCTATAGTGAGGCGGTCACATTTTTTTTTTTTAAAGTACTTTCGAATCATAGCATTGGCGGTCACATTCAATAGAGTTTTCCCATAATAAATTTTGAGGATCAAACTTACCAAATCAAGCTACATCATTAAGGAACAAATGACGCGTGACTTTTTTCCGATTAATTTGAATGACAAATTTTATGTCCGGGGCTAATTTTATGCAACAAAACAGAATATTTTCGTAGTTGGAAGGAATGAAAACTTACTCTTTCCTTTGTATTCATACTCAAACACATATATACCTTATCTATAATCAGCAACAATAATAATTAAATATTAATGATAAATGATAATTCAATTAATCCAAGTTCATTTTATTAAGGAAACATTAAGTTTTACGAAATTGTCTAAAAGTATCCCCAAAAAAATCATTTAAGAAATAAATAATTGTTTTATTTATTTGGACAATTAATTATTAACAAATATTTTCTTTGTTCTTTTTAGGATTTCAATGCTTGCAATCTTGCCTGCATCTCATCAAGTTCGGGTTCTTCTTCCTCCTCTTGTGTTTGCTAATTTTGATTTTTTTAAGAATATTTATGTTTAATTCATCTAATTATAATATATGTGGATTTAAAAAAGATTTAATGATATAATTTACCTCAAGTGGTGCACCAACATTTCCAGCCTCGCCAAGTAAACCATTTGTTAGTTCAAAAAGAACATTGTTAACTTCTTGTTCTGCCTCTTCTTCAACATCACTTTCTTCCAATCCTTCAAACGTATCTTCTATCATTTCATCCATAATACCTGCCTAATATGTAGTATTTATAATAAATAAAATAAATAAGTTAAATATTTTATTACTGAATCCCCCCCAATAATAATAATTTATTTTCATAAATAGAAATTTATAGTTATACCTTTGTCATTTCCATTGATAATTCCTGCATACCTTTGGAAATTTCTGGTAATCTTGTCAATCCATTCACCATTTTCATAACATCTGTGCTTTTTTTTAATGTTCCAGATAATTTTACGGTTGCTAATAAAAATTATAGTCATTAATTAACATAACCTTACATAAAAAGAAGACAATTGTAGTATTTATTTATTTGAAATCTATTTACCTAATTGATGTTGTAATTGTAAATTGATTGAATTTAATTGTGCTTTACCAGTGTATAGTCTTTGTTTTTGTCGACGTGTTCTTACAAGTTCTTTGGCAAAAAGTTTACAGGCAGCATTATCATTTTTCTTGGCATTTTGTTTCAAAAGAGCTATGGTTTTTTTCTCTACGTCGTTAAAATCTTTAATTTGCCTTTCTAATGATCTTTGTTGTGTTCGAATATCTCTTTGCCATTTCCTTACCTAAAAGATAATATATATGTTGTAATCGTAATTTCATGAGAATTGTATGTTTCACGCATGCATATTAATATGTTCTATTTTTTCAAACTATTATTTATTGTCTTTCGAATGAGGGAGAAATTGCGAATACAGCTTACTTTCTGTTTTTCGGTTGTTTCGCGGATTGCTCTTTTTTTTTTTTTTGAAAGAAAAAAACTATTTGAAAACCATTATTACCATTTCATCCGATGTTGGTTTTTTACCAAAAAGTTTTTGTACTGTTTCCATAATGAAAATTCTTAGTAAAATCAACCTTACAAATTATGATGATGTCATAATTGAATTGAGTGAAACAATAAACTGTGAAAGATCATCCATACATCACATTGATTTTTTTTTGATCATCAAAAATTTTAAAAATGGCTCTTGGAACTAATAATGAAAATGAAAATCATGTTAAAGACTAGGAGCTTTCCGAAGCTTTACATGAACGATTAATTTCATTTCAAAAGATAAAGCTGTGTAGGAAACTGTTGTTAATAATTATATAAATTATTGGGCAGGAAAGGACCCAATGACAGAAAATGAAGTTGATAAAGAGGCCAGAAAATCTAATTATACATATCTAACAAATTCTTACTATAATATTCTTACTGATTTTACGAGGTAAACATTTTAATTTGATAATTTGATAAAGATTGATATTGATACTTATCTTTTATTATTATTTAATTTAATTAGTATGGTTGGATGGTTGTTATCATTAATATCTAAAAGAGGAGAATTAATTTTTTGATATTTATTATTACTCAAATATTAATATTATTATCATAGATAAAACAAAAGAGAATTAATTTTTCACTATTCATACCTTCTTATTCATACTCTCTTATTATTATCATTAATAATTTTTTGTTTCTTATCAATATCTATTAATCATTAAATAAATATGCATTTTTCCTTTTCTGCCAGTCATTTCTAACCTTAGAAACAAAAAACTTTAGTTTGACTACTTGACATAAGCACAATAAAGCAATATTATATCTAAGAGTCAAAGTTTGATTTTTGTTTTTATTTGAATCTACAAAGTTCGAATTCTCTTACTATAATTTGTTATATAGAAATGGTGAACAGAAGGTATAACTTTGAGCAGACTATTCTTTTCCATTTCCATTATAAAAACTTAGCTGAAATTTTGCAAGGTGATAGACTAACAAGTAAACCTTATTATACTAAATCGGGAAGATCCAAATCTGCCCTATAGCTAATTGTGGCTTCATAGAAAGTCATCATTGCTGCTGCTGCCACCAGCTAGACATATCCTGCCACAGTTAAAATGGCAGCAGAGAGGTTAGTAAGTCCCCCTTATAAATAGATCAGGTCTCTTCCATAAGTGTCTGTGTGCAAAAAAATGTTCCTTATGTTATGGGCAGCATTAACATCTCAATTCCAATGTGTCAGACAGACTGATTTGCAGACTCTGATGGACCAGAATTTTTGATGCTTATCAAACCACCCATCACACAAAGAACAGACTGAGGAAGTACAGAACTCATCAATGTTCACCACCCTGCAGTGTCTAGAAAGCTCCTGGTGAAATTCTTTTACAGGGCCTGGAGCATGCCCACATGATGTTGATGAGAATTTACCATCACCAAATGCAACAACTGTACTGTCACCATTGCTATTTGTTATTCTCTTGCACAGAATATCAAAGGCCTTCTGTTTATTAATAAAAGATTTCCATCACAACTGACACCAGCAATGTTCACAATAAAAATCAAGAATTATATCAAGATAAAACAGAATGTAAACAAGGTAAGAGACATATTCATAGACATTGGTGACACCAGAGGTTGGAATATCTAGATTCTGTATTAGTATTAGGCAAAAGGTATGTAAGTAATATTATTCAATGATATTCTTGTTTAACAGCAAATTAAATTAACAAAGTATAGCTCACCTTGAATAACAGCCTGAAGATATTTTTTTTTTTCCAACCACAACTCACATTTTTTATGAGCACAAACAAACCCTGCTAAGTTCCAGTATTCCTTGTTGGAACAGTTCACAAATTTTTCATCTGAACTCACTGCTGTAAACAGATCTTTTCTTCCAGGATCCAGTCCAAATACTTTGCATCCATTTAAAT